GAACCCAAGGCCCACAAGTGGTGTCCCTACCATGCTGCCTTCCTGGCCAGCTCCCACCCCAGTGCTACACATCTGTCCTTCTGACCTCCTAAGCTATCTTGGCCTGGGAAAAATGTCTTACCTCAATCTTTTGTTGCCTATGCAGCTTCAGAATTTGATTTAACATGTTATTTTAAAGTTGTTTTTAGGAGAATATTGGGAGAGCTTGCCTTGAATGCTCCTCTACTCTACCATCTTGCTTCCCAATCTCTTTTTCACACCTTCTTTAAGAGTTTATTTTGCTTCTAATTCCTCCCTTTATCTACCTTCCTTATTATCCCCTCATTTTTATTAATCCCATTTCCTTCAATTTCTCTATTACATAAGATGTATTTCTGTGCCCAGCTGTGTGTATATGTATATTCTCTTCTTGTTTGACCAGTTCAGATGAGAGTGAGTTTCAAGTGTTACCATTCCCCCTCACTGTCCCCTCCTTATTGCATAAACTTCTCCTCAAACACCCCGTTCATATGAGATAATTTCTCCCATTCTTCTTCTCCTTGGGTGTAGGGTTGTTGTTTGCTTTTTTTTTTGCCACCATTTCCATTTTTTTTTTTTTGAGATCCTCAAAACATAACAGAATCACTCCCAGGCTTTCTGTTTAATTAGACTTTTTCTATGGCCCCTAATGATAAAGTTATGAGTGATTACATGTATTTTCATATGTAAGAATGTAAACAGTTTTACCTTGTTTAGTTCCTAATGATTGTTGGTTCATATTTAACTATTTATGCTTCTCTTGACTCCTGTGTGTTTATACGTCGTATATTCTACTCAGATCTGGTCTTTTCCTCAGGAATGCTTAAAAGTATTCTATTGCATAAAAGGTCATTTTCCTCTGTAGGATTATTCTTAGTTTTGCTGGGTAGGTTATTCTTGGTTGTAATCCTAGCTCCTTTTTCTGGAATGCCATATTCTAAGCTCTCCTTTTCTTTATAGTGATGGCTGCTAAATTATGTGTGATCCTGACTGTACTTGTGCTCCTCAGTACTTGAATTCCTTCTTTTTCTCTACTTAGAGTATTTTTCTTTGAACTGGGAGCTCTAGATTTTGTCTATAATATTTTTGGGAGTTTTTATTTTGGAATTTCTTTCAGAAAGTGACATATGCATTCTTTTAATTTCTACTTTGTCTTCTAGTTCTAAGATATCTAGGCAGCTTTCTTTTATGACTTCTTAAAATATTATGTCTAGGTTCTTTATTTGTAGTTTTCAAGTAATCCAATGATTCTTAAATTATCCTTCATGTGTTTTCCAGGTCAGCTGTTTTCCCGATTAGAGAGTTCAAAATTTTGCTTTTGAATTTATTTTATTACTTTTCCATGTGTCATAGGGTCATTAGCTTCCATTTGTCCAATTCTAATTTTCAAAGAGATCTTTTCTTTTTTTTCTTTTCAATAGTATTCTATTTTTTCAATTACATGTAAAGATAATTTTCAACATTCATTTTTATAAGATTTTGAATTCCAAATTTTTTCTCCCTCCTTCCCTCCCATCCCCCCTCCCCAAGATGGCAAGCAATCTGATATAGGTTATATATGTACAATCATGGAAACATATTTCCACATTAGTCATGTTGTGAAAGAAGGAACAGAGTAAAAGGGAAAAACCCCCCAAAAATGAAAAAAATGAAAATAGTCTGCTTTGATCAGCATTCAGACTCCATAGTTCTTTCTCTGGATGTGGATGGCATTTTCCATCATGAGTCTTTTGGAATGGTCTTGCATCATTATATTGCTGAAAAGGACTAAGTCATTCAAAGTTGATCATTGCACAATGTTTCTATTACTGTACAATGTTCTGGTTCTGCTCACTTCACTCAGCATCAGTGAATGTAAGTCCAGGTTTTTCTGAAATTCACCTGCTCATCATTTCTTATAGCACAATGGTATTCCATTACATTCATATACCACAACTTCTTCAGCCATTCCTCAATTGATAGGCATTCCCTCAATTTCCAATTTGCCACCACAAAAAGATCTACTATAAATATTTTTGTACAAATAGGTCCTTTTCCCTTTTTTTATAATCTTTTTGGGATACATACCTAGCAGCAGTATTGCTGAATCAAAAGGCATACACCATTTGATTGTCCTTTGTGTATAGTTCTAAATTGTTTTCCAGAATGGTTGGATCAGTTCACAACTCCACCAACAATGCATCAATATCCTAATTTTCTCACATTCTCTCTAACATTTATCATTTTCCTTTTCTGTCATATTAGCCAATCTGATAGGTGTGCTGTGGTACCTCAGAGTTGTTTTAATTTGTATTTCTCTAATCAATAGCGATTTAGAGCATTTTTTTTTCATATGACTATAGATAGTTTTAATTTCTTCATCTTAGAATTGCCTGTTCATATCTTTTTAACTATTTATTAATTGAGGGATGAATTGCATTCTTATAAATTTGAGTCAGTTCTCTATATATTTTAGAAATGAGGCCTTTATTGGAAACATTTGTTGTAAAAATTATTTCCCATCTTTCCACTTTCCTTCTAATCTTGGTGTTGCATTGGTTTAGTTTGTGCAAAAATTTTTTAATTTAATGTAATCAAAATTGTCCATTTTGCATTTTATACTGTTCTGTATTTCTTGCTTGGTCTTAAATTCTTCCCTTCTCCATAGATCTGATAGGTAAACTATTCATTGCTCTCCTAATTTGCTTAAGGTAACACCCTTTATATCTAAATCATATACTCATTTTGACTTTATCTTGGCATAGGGTGGAAGATGTTGGTCTATGCCTAGTTTCTGTCATACTATTTTCCAGTTTTCACAGCAGTTTTTGTCACATAGTGAGTTCTTATCCCAGAAGCTGGGGTCTTTGGATTTATCCAACAGTAGATTACTATAATCATTGACTACTGTGTCTTGGGTGCCTAACTTATTCCACTGATCCACCAGTATATTTCTGAGCCAATACCAGATAGTTTTGATAATACTATAAAGATTTATTTTTTTCATTAAGGTTTTGTATCTCTTTCTCCATGCTGTTGATTTTCTTTTCACATGTTTCTTCCCTATGTCTCGCTTCTTTCCCTTCTTTTTCCATTATCACTCTCATTTGGCTTTTAAAGTCACTTTTATCTCTCTCTCTCTCTTTTTTTTTTTAACATTTTTACTTAAAGTTTTGAGTTCTAAATTCTATTCCTCCCTCCCCTCCCTGAGTCAGCAAGTAATCAGATATAGGTTATACCTGTGCAATTATGTGAAACATTTCCACATTAGTAATTTTGTATAAGAAGACTCAAATAAAAGAAAAAAAGTAAGAGAAAGAAAGTGAAAAATAGCATGCTTCAGTCTGTATTCAATCAATATCAGTTCTTTCTCTGGAGGCATATAATATGCTTCTTTTATCTCTCTTTTAATTCTTGCTTTAACTCTTCTAAGAATTCTTGTTGGACTTGTGTCCAAGCTGCATTTTTCTTTGAGGTTTTACTTGTAGATATTTTGTAGTCACTGTCTTCTTCTGTGTTTTGTCTTGAGTTCTTTTTCCCATAACAACTCTTTATGGTTGGGTTCTTTTTGTGTTTGCTCATTCTTCCAGCCTACTTCTTGATTTTATGTTAATGGTGTGCTCTGTTCACTTCTGAGTGGGGTAGGGTAGATGTTCTGGCCTGAGCTTACCTCCTTTTGTGTCTTTCTGCTGCTTTTGCAGCTTAGTCTGGGAGCCTGCAAGTTTTCAGGGCTCTCAAAGCATTGGGATCTAGGGAAAGGTTTGTTTACTGCCCCCTTGGTCTGAGCTCTACAAGCTCCTGACCCAGGTTTGCGTCTGTCAGCTTGGCCTTGGTTGGGGGTACTAGCATACTGTTATTAAATCTCGTTAGCCTGCTGGGAGGTTCTGCAGGTTCAGTGTGACCAAACTGCTGGCTTCCCTATGGTCTGGGTCTCCTGCCCTGGTGATTCTGCTGCAGGTGTATGTGCAGAGCTAAAACTTAGAACAGTCTCTTCTATGCTCCTGGGCTCAGAGGTACAAAAGATCGGGGGGTTTTGTTTTCTTCTCCATTGTTTAACCCACTCACATTTAAAGTTATGACAGCTTTATGTTCTCCTTCCTTTGTTTCTCATTGTTTCTTTTTACCCCTGAATTAGGATTTCCCCCCCTTTCCTCTGTATTTTTGGTTATTGTTTTTTAATTTGCTTGTCTTAAGCAACTCGGTCCCCAAAAGCTCTCTCCCCCTCCCCTTCAAGCTCAGCCTCACCTTTATGCCTGCCCTAATTTTAGAATTTTGATTAACTTATTAATTCCTTTTTCTTCCTTCCTTTTATCTAGTTATCTCATTCTTTGTTCCCTCAGTTAGTCAAGTAAAATCCCTCTTCCTCTCTTTCCCTTCCTCTAATTGTTTGGTTTGTTAGTTTTTATTCCATTTTCTGTACCTTTTTTTTTAAAGTACTTCTTTCCTTCATCCTCTTTTTAGACCTCACCTCCATTTTCTTCCATACTCTACTCTTCCCTCAAAAAGGCCCTTGACATCATACCCCACTACACCCACCTCTCCTCTAGTCTTTGATGAAGTGGTCTTTCTTCTTGCCAATACCAGTGACTCAGCTGGATCCTACTATTTCTTGTCTCTTTGTATTGTAGACTTGTATTCTTTGACTCATGGCCTTTCTCCTTATTTTCTCCTTCTTCTGTCTCCATATTCCTCACAGGAGGAAACCTTCTGCAGTGCCTCTTTTGAGTTTGTTCTGTGTTACTGCCTTGGAGATCTTGCCCCCTGCTCCTTTTCCCTTGTGCCTCACTCTTGGGAATACCGATCCTGCAGGGTTTAGAGAGGATTGCCCCAGAGGAGGATTTTTCTGTGTCCCCGATTAGGCAGCCTCCCTGTGATCAGTTTTACCCTATCTGCCACACAGTCTCCTTTCAGGGTCCATGCCTTCCCAGTCAGGAAGCAAATAAAGAAATGACAGAATGATTCTTCCCTGTTATTTACATGTTTCCTTTTGCTTGTTTCCCCAGGAAGTCACGATGTCTGACAAAAGTGACTTAAAAGCTGAGCTGGAACGAAAGAAGCAGCGGTTAGCCCAGATCAGGGAGGAAAAGAAACGGAAGGAAGAGGAACGGAAAAAGAAAGAGGTGAGTGCTAAGGAAGAAGCCCACTCAAGGGCATTTACCCTAGTCTGTCTCCTTTGGCCACTGAGAATTTAGGTCTCAGAGAGAGTTTATGCCTGGCCTTGCTAGACTTGGTAAACAGGATGCCTGCTGTCAGCTTCACCTGTCTACTTTGGGCCACCAGAGCTGAGTTCTCCTCGTGTCAGCCCAAGGGACACAGGGGAGGAGTCACCCTCTTAATGTCACTCAGGCTCATTGTCAGAACCTGGAAGGGACATTAGACACAGTCAGCTGAGGGGGAAGTGAAGGGAAAACAGTGATTTCTATCCCTTTCCCTTCCCTTTCCATTTCCTCTTCTCCCCTCCCTGCCCTCCCTTCCCCTCTCCTCCCCTCTCTTCCTTTTTTCTCCCCACTCCTCCCCTCTTCTCCCCTCCTGTCCTCTCATCTCCTTTCCTCTTCTCCTTCCTCTCCCCTCCCTTCTTTTCCCCTGTTCTCCTCTCCTCTCTTCTCTTCTAGTCTCTTCTCCTTTCTCTCCTCTCCTCTCTCTTCCTTTCATTATCTCAACAGCGTCCCTAGTTTTAGTTATCATCACTACACAGGTGACTCTCAGATTGTTATGCCTAGCCCCTCTCCCTCCTATAATGAAAAACCAGGGAGCATTTTTTGACCTCACCTCCATTTTCTTCCCTACTCTCCCCTTCCCTCCCAAAGGCCCTTGATGTCATCTCTGACTTTCCTCCGGTCTTGGATGAAGTTATCTTTCTCTTTGCCAGAGCTAGTGCCTCTACAAGATTCCATTCTTTCTCTCTCCTTATATTGCCCAGAACCAAACCCACAGCTCACTTCCCAGCCAGCAGTTCAGAATGTACCACACCTTCTAGCTGTCCTTTATGTTTTGTCTTTTCCTATTAGAATGTTGGCTCCTTGAGGTGAGGGAATGACTCTCTAGTTTGTATTTGTATCTCCAGAACTTCGCTAAGCACCTGGCACAAAGTAAGTGCTTAATTAATGCTTGCTCAGTCTATCTGGCTGTCATCTTCTCCAGCTGATTGTCACCACTCTCATGACCCCACCCTCTCCTTATCTATTGCTCCTTCCCTGCTGCTTACAAACATGTTCATGTCTCTTTCATCTTAAAAACAAAATCATAACCCTTCCATCCCTTCCATTCCCTCAAGGTATTATTGCTTTTCCTTTTCATAGTGGTCCTAGCAGAAGCTGTCTACACTAGCTGCTTGTACTTCTTCTCCACCCACTAGCTCAGGACCCCTTGCTGTCTATCTGTCTTCCAGCCTCACCATTGAACTGAGCCTGCCCTTTACAAAGTCATCCAGATCTCCAAGGGCTTCTTCTCGATCCTCATTCTCCTTGACCTCTCTGCAGACTTTGACATTGTTAATCACCCTCTTCTCCTCAATATTCTCTTCTCTCTAGGTTTTCATGACATGGCCCTGTCCTGGTTCTCCTCCTACTCTCTCTGGCTGTTCCTTCTCAGTCACTTTTGCTAAATACTAGTAATGATGATAACAGCTAGTATTTATATAGTACATTAAGATTTGCAAAGCACTTTGCAATATTATCTCATTCTATCCTTACAACAACTACTCGAGGTAGGTGCTATTATTAACTCCATTTTACAGTTGAAACTGAGGCAGATAGAGGTTAAATGACTTTTCAGGGGTCACATAGCTAGTAAATATCGGAGGCTGGATCTGAACTCAAACCTTCCTGACTTCAGGCACAGAGCTCTATCCACTGTGCCACCTCTGCCTTTCCCCCATGCCTAGAACACACTCTCTTCACTTCTACCATGTAGCCTTCCTAACTTCCTTCAAAGCTCAGTATATATAGATTTTTCTCCACTTTATGACGCCCATCTCAATTCCTCAGCTCCTACTGCCCTTCCTCGCCTAATTTATTTTATTTAATGTCTTTATATTTTGTATTTGCTTAGATGGGTTCTTGTGGTCTCCCTCAGCAGAATGCAAGATCTTTGAATGCTGGAATTATCTTACATTTGTGTTAGTGATCTGGCACCCAGTGGGCAAATAAGTGTGGCATCTCTAAGTAGGTTGGGCTGGGCTGGGTAGGACAATGCTTTCTCCAGCTGAGTGTTATGGTGCTCCTTTAGATGAAGTATAACAGAGTCCTAGGATTTGTAGAAACTTCTTCTCTGTGACTCTCTCAGAGGTGATCTGTCGCCTCCAGGTAGGAGAGGAGAGAAAAAATGGCCTCCCCAATTAGACAAATTCTGCCTGACTTAAAACGTCCCACCCTCAAGGGGCAGCTAGATGGCACAGTGGATAGAGCACCAGCCCTGAAGTCAGGAGGACCTGAGTTCAAATCCAGCCTCAGACCAAACACTTGATCACTTACTAGCTGTGTGACCTTGGGCAAGTCACTTAACCCCAATTGCCTAAAAGAAAAAAGAAGAAAAAAAAAAGAAAACCTCCCACCCTCAAGAAGATGCTCCTTGTTGCCTTAGGGTAATTGGTCCCAAGGGCAGCTAGGCACCACAGTGTCTAGAGCACGAGACCTGGAGTCAGGAAGACTCATCTTCCTGGGTTCAAATCTAGTCTAAGACACTAATTAGCTGCGTGACCCTGGGCAAGTCACTTCACCCTGTTTGCTTCAGTTCCTCACCTATAAACTGTGCTGGAGAAGGAAATGGCAAACCACTCCAGTATCTTTGGCAAGAAAATCCCACGTGGGTAATGAACAAAAAGTCAGACACAAGTGAAAAGGGACTAAACAATGAACAGTCCTGATTCACTCACTTCCCCCTCCCATGATCCTTTGGGAATCTCGAGTAGATGAGTGTCTGGGGGCAAGCTGAATGCTGCCCATGTCTTGGAGGTCTGGTCTTTGTCTTACTGGCCTCTTCATTTACAGTTGAGCTCTTTGAGCCTCGGACCCTTTTCAGGCTGAGCACTGTCCTCTTTACACATCCTGCAGACTTTCAGTTTTGGCTGATGTGTCTGGGGCTCCCTTCCTACACGGGTTACGAAACTGCCAACCAGGAGAGTTGTGCCTTGGTCAAGGTCACCTCACTAATGGGCAGGAGACCCAGGAGACCATAGCCTTCTGCCTCTGAGACCTCAGCTTTGTCTTCTGGTCAGTGTCCTCAAAGGTATCCTTGCTTGGGCCTGGCCAGGTATGGCTTCCATCCCGGGAGATCAGCGGGAGAGGTTTCAAATGGGCGTTCCTCCCTCACCAAAAAAAAAGCTATCTTTGGATAGCTCAGAGCCAAAAAGCCAAATTCTGCACAGCCTTGGGAGCTTCCTTTAGGGCCAGGCTGTTCTCTTGGAAGCCTGAGGCCTGGCAGGAGGGCTTCCTCTCTTTGGCCTGTGGGCACTGCATCCACCCCGGTCCCAACCGTCCAGGGAATCCGGGTCTCACCACATCTGCAGCCCAGCCAGCCAGAATCCCCCTGCCCTTAGACTGTGAGTGACGGGCAGCTTGCTTTCGGGACTGTTCTCCCTGCAAGGTGGCCAGGCATACAGGATGCTGATCAGCCTTCCGTCTGCCTGGCCCCCCTGTCATTAGCCAGGGATGGAAAGCTCCTGTTTATTCTTGAGGCGCCGATCCTGTCCTTATGCAGGCCGATCGCATGCTGATAGGGGGCGGGTGCTCATTTCCAGCAAAATCAAAGAAGTTTCGAGATAGGATATTTTCCTCCCTTCAAGTGTCGATACTCGGGAGAAGTCAAGGGCACCAGTTGTCCCGGGCTAATTACGAGTTTCTTTCGAAACTGACATTCTCATCTCCCGCCCGAATTTCACAGAATGATTCTGAGATAGGATGAGGCTCAGCAAATGGCATTCCACCTCAGGCGTCTGCTTCGTCTTTGGCATTTCATGAATCTGGGGGTGTGGAGGATGGGGGGAGGGGGGAGGCAATTCCGGCTGAAGACGACCTCGGAAGGGGAGCAGGAGCCAGTTGGATCCTGCCGTCCTCCAGTCAGATCTCAGTCCTGTAGGGATCCCAGTGCTGTGAATCCCAGAGACTGAGTTCAAATCCCAGCTCTCCCCTAGCTAGCAAACTGTCGAACCTCTTTGGGTCTTAGTCTGTGCAGTACGAGAAGCAGACTAGAGATCTCTAAGGTCACTTCAGGCGCTGGACACAACTCCAACTGGTTCGATTTTCAGTGGGGGTATTTACACCTCTGAAATCAGCAAACACGGCCTTGACTGATTATTTAATGATTGCCCAGACTTAAGAAAGGGATAGAGAAAATGTTAATGATGCAGATTATACTTAAGAGTCCATCTTATGTTTTCAGTACTGTGGGCCTCGAGTTTTTCACAGAGCTGAACCTTAAATTCCTGGTTGTTAAATATTTACTAGCACTCCAGGGCTTCCAGGGTGAAAGAAAAAAAAGATACATTTAACACTGGAAGAATCAGGCCACCAATTGATGCATTTAAAAAAACCCCACCATAATTATATATAATCTGTGCAAATGCACTTTGTTTTTTCACGATAAATTTTAATTGACGTTTTCTGTTCCTTGCGTGACCATAGTTATCCCATGCACCTCTGTAAAGAAAAAAAAATCAGCACAATTGATCAGCACATTGAAAAAGTCTGAATGCAGGTGGAATGTGGGACACTGGCAAACTTTTACCTCCATCAAGGGTACGTTAACGTGTCCTTTCATCTCTCATCATTCGAGTTCAATCAATTAATCCACAAACATTTGTTGGTGTTGTTAAGTCATTGTTCAGTGTGTCTGACTCTTGGTGACCCCATCTGGGGTTTTCTTGGCAAAGATACTGGAATGGTTTGCCATTCCCTTCTCCAGCTTATTTTATAGATGAGGAAACTGAGGCAAACAGAGTGAAATGACTTGCCCAGGGTCACCCAGTTAGAAAATATCTGAGGCTGGATTTGATGAAGTCTAGAGGTTAGGGGTCCTGGAATCCCAAAATCATGACAAGCAGGTCCTGCCCGAAAGAATTTGACCCAAGCCTTCTTTCAGCCAAAGACAAGGTTTATTAGAACATTGTCGTATTGGGTAGACT